GAAAATTACAGACCAATATCCCTCATGAACATTGACGCAAAAATCCTCAACAAAATACTAGCCAACAGAATTCAGGAACATATCAAAAAAATAATTCACCATGACCAAGTGGGATTTATACCAGGTATGCAGGGATGGTTCAACATTAGAAAAACAATCAATGTAATCCATCACATAAATAAAACAAAAGAGACGAACCACATGATCTTATCAGTCTTTGCCGAAAAGGCATTTGACAAAGTCCAACACCCATTCATGATAAAAAAAACTCAACAAAATACAAACAGAAGAGAAATTCCTCAATATAATTAAAGGCATTTATACAAAGTCAACAACCAACATCATCCTGAATGGAGAGGCTTTGAAAAGCATTCCCCTTGAGAACGGGAAACAGACAAGGATGCCCTTTATCACCACTCTTATTCAACACTGTGCTGGAGGTCCTAGCCAGAGCAATTAGGCTACAAAAAGAAATAAAGGGCATCCAAATTGGTAGGGAAAAAGTCAAAGTATCTCTATTTGCAGATGGTATAACCTTATACACAGAAAACCCCAAAGAATCCACAAGAAAACTACTAGAACTAATAGAAGACTTCAGCAAAGTATCAGGATATGAGATCAACATACAAAAATCAGTTGGATTCCTTTATACCAACAAAGAGAACTGTGAAGAGTAAATCACCAAATCAATACCATTTACAATAGCCCCCAAGAAGATAACTTACTTTGGAATAGATCTAACCAGAGACGTAAAAGATCTATACAATGAAAACCACAAGACACTACTACAAGAAACCAAAATAGACCTGCATAAGTGGAAAAACATACCTTGATCACGGATAGGTAGACTCAACATTGTGAAAATGTCAATTCTACCCAAAGTGATCTACAGATACAATGCAATCCCAATCCAAATTCCAATGGCATTTTCTAATGAGATGGAGAAACAAATCACCAACTTCATACAGAAAAGGAAGAGGCCCCGAATAAGTAAAGCATTACTCGAGAAGAAGAACAAAGTGGGAGGCCTCACACTACCTGATTTTAGAACCTATTATATTGCCACGGTAGTCAAAACAGCCTAGTACTGGTACAACGACAGATACACAGACCAATGGAACAGAACTGAGAATCCGGACATAAATTCATCCACCTGTGAGCAGCTGATATTTGACAAAGGCCCA